AACAAAAACATCAAACACCCTCTGCGTAGTTTTATACTTAGAGTTAAAAGAAGACTTATAGAAAGTGAATAGTACTTGTTAAAAAATCTTGAACCATTATGGCAAATAGAAGTAGAAAACAGTACAAAGTGGTTCTTGTGCTGGAAAAGACTAGTAGAACTCAGAGAGCAAAGCTGCAAGTCACTAATAAGAGTAATAAACTAGTTATCTGATTAAAAGGTCTTTTTTGAGTACTCCCTACACTAAGTATACTTCATTAGCACAAGCCAGAAATATATGTCTTAGCAAACTATATATTGTGTGAAGAAAATAAGATTGAAAATATGAGTTATCTCTTTAAGTGTAAAAGTTTAGAAGAGATTTGGACAGAAATTGAAAAGCAGACATTAGCAACAGCCTGGGCATACTTGAGAAGGAGGCAAGATTTGAGTATACACTACCAGATCTCAAAGAAGTAGTATATGGCAATACTCATCAAGCAAAACAAGCCGCAAAAAAGAGATTTACTCTCAGCTTGGTTTAACAGGCAGACTTTCTCTGTTTATGCAAGATGAATAGAAAGCATAGCTCGAGTTGACAATACTTTGAAGCACTGGTCTATACCATACAGGAGTGCTTCTACAACGTATTATAAAGAGAAAGATGTGAACAGTTTGTAGCTTGGGAAAAACGTAATGGAATAAGCAAAGTAGTCAAGTTAGGGAAGAAAGATAAGAAGATCTCGAATGCATCAAAGGGAGATACAAGAACAGAAGCTTCAGGAGAAGTATGCTCATCAAGTTCAAGTTTACATACAGAAGATGAGGCAAATAAATACTTCTCAAACAAAAGATGCAGGATTTTAGAAAGTATTCCTGACAAAGAAAAAGAAGAAAGAAAAAGTTCTGGCTAACAAGAGTTAAGGAATATATGAAGAAAGTGTATAAAATAACAAAAGAGACATTATGGCAGCAGATTACAAACTCTCTTCCTCCCAGGTGGTGGGTAAAATAAATATTAGAGTATATAGATTTCAATTCATAGGTAGCTAAGCATCTGGTTATAGCAGGCCTTTAAATATGGGTAGCACTATATGTGGGGTCAGTTGACCAATATCAGTCTGATAACTGTACTTGGGCACTTCATAAGCAGCCAGGTACTAGTATAATAGGTAGTTAGATAGTTTATTGTATAAATAACAAATATCTAATAAATTAGTATGTGGTTATTAAAAAAAAAAAAAAAAAAGCATTATTAAGCAATTATATTTGTTATAGGATGAAGTTATATCAGAAGTATCCCAATTGGATCAGGTTCTTCTATAGACACTGAGGTTTATTAATTGTATAAATAGTTTTAAGTTATATATTATAAAACACAGCATAATTTAAATTTCTTTAGTATGAAGATATATCAAAATTACCTCATTTTAATATAGAAATTAAACCTCTTTCAACAAATATGTCTTCTTTGGTGGAATGTAATCTTGAAGACTATAAAAGTGCATCTTATGATAATACTTTTACTGATTTTAAACATCTACCAACTGTTGAATGGTCTAATGATGCCTATCATAAATTTATAGTGATAGTTAATAAATTCAACTATTTAACTCAGCCAGTGATCTGTAATAATCTTCTTTAACAAATATTCAAGATTAAACATTTCATCATTATCTCTATTAACAAGAATAAGTAAAGAATTTTTAAACAATTAACTATCTCTTATATGATGTTTAAAGAAATTTCAATTACAACATTTTAAAATATTGAATTTATGTTTTACTATCAATTATTAATAAAGACTATTAAGTCTTTATTAATGATTGATAGTATTAGTTAGTTATAGGTTCTTTAATATAAAAGTAAAAATGAATTAATAAATGATATAGAATATTGTATATTTAAGGAACAGTATAATTGTAATTGGTAGAGACAAGAAGAGTCAGCTTTACTTCTCAGGCATTGTTTACTATTGATTATCCTCTATTTAGATGCAGCAACCTTTGACTATATGGGTAAATTCTCTGGTCATCCAATATTCTTGTCTCTTGGAAACATTTCTAACAACCAGAGAAATAAACTAGAATTCAAAGCATTAATTGAATATCTTCCAATCTTAAAGGCCAAGAATTCTAAGACCAAAAATTCTGAAGATTTCTGTAAATTACAAAGAGAAGTCTTTCAAAAGTGTATAGTGATTCTTCTTCATCCTATAGTGCATGAGCCAGAGCTTTATTTTGTAGTTCGTGATGAAATAGTTACTTTTATTCCTTGAGTATCAATGATTTTAACTAATTTGGCTAAAGCTGATAAAATAGCCAATGTTTATCAACTATTTACTTCAAGATGGCTATATTATTTATATTTAGAGCAAAGAATAATATTAATAAAATAAATTTAACTAATGCCTTACCTAGAATACCAAATAATATGAAGCAAGCAATTAATAATAACGAGACATATTATAATTCAATTCATCCTGAAGCAAATGCATTTTGGAAGATAAAGTATAATTTCAACAGTTTATTACTGAATTATATAATTAAAATAAATTAATATATATAATTATACTAAATTAATATATAATCATAATATATTAATATATAATTATAATAATTATAGAAACTTCAATATATAAAGCTATTGTCCCTGATCAAATACATATATTGAATCTTGGCCTCTTTAAATATATACTAGATTATACAAAAAAGCTTTTACTTAAGCAGTGGAGAAGCCAAGTAATTCAAAAATTTGAACAATGATTAATGTTGGTTTCTAGATTTCAAGCTTTCAAAATAATAAAGAATATAGATAATTTATATGATAATTGTAAAAAACTGGGTATTAACAATAAGCAGTTATATCAAGTCTATTACAAGTTTCTTTAAATATATATAGCCACTTAAAAAGAATTGTTTACTAATAATTCTTGTAATCAACTTTAGATATATAACAAACACTTATTTTTACAAATGCTTTATTATAGTATTATTATATAATTTCATAGACATTTATTAAGAATTGTGCTCAAGAATTCATTGTAATATTTTTAAAATATTCTCTGAGTAGCCTCCAACTCCCAAAACTATATGCTTGGTACCATCATATAATATCTGCTATTAAAGAATATAGTTAGTAAATAGTATGACTACAGAAATCTATAAAACTCTTTATAAGTCTTATGTTAAAACTCTACTAAATATTAAATAAAAAAAAAATATCTCTTTTGACATCAATTTTGCACAAAAAGATATTTAATTTCATACAAAATGATATTTAATTTCATACAAAGTGATATTTGATTTCATACAAAATATTATTTAAATTTATACAAAGTAACATTCAAATCTGTACAAAAAGACAATTAAAATAAGGTTGACTAAATCATGATATCTCATGATACAATAGTCCAAATAGATAGTTTTGGCATTATTCAAATCATCTCATTGAGAGAATTTGAATGATACTAAAATTATCAACATTGGACAACTGTATCACAAGATATTGTGATTTAGTCAACTTTATTTTAATTGTCTTTTTGTACAGATTTGAATATCACTTTGTACAAATTTAAATAATATTTTGTATAAAATCGAATATCACTTTGTATGAAATTGAATGTCATTTTGTACAAAATTAAATGTCTTTTTGTGTGAAATTGATATTAAAAGAGATATATAAAACAAATAATAAAGACAGTAAGCTAAAAAAGAAAATTTTTTACAAAATTTAATAATCTTGTTAACTATCAATCATAAATGATAGTTAACAAGATAATTAAATTTTTGTAAAAAATTTTTATCAATTTGGTCTTTTCAAGTATTAATCTGCACTTTTTACTTCATCTACAATTATTTTATCATAAGCTCACTTAGCCAACATCACACTAAGTAACAATTACTAAAAATATATACGTGCAACTAATAATATGCTAATTCTAACACTAATTGATGTTGGCTAAGTGAACTTTTGGTGAAATGATTGTCAGTAAAGTGAGTAGTTACAGGCTATATATTAAATAAAATTGTTATATATTATTAATAATTGAAATTTAGATTAAAAGACAAAAGTTAACTGAAAAAGAAGTTTTTAAGAAGAAATAAAAAACAAAAAGTATTTGTAGATGATAAATTTGGAAGACCTTGATGGCTTCCTTCAAAAAAATAAGGACATAGTTCTTTACAAATCAAAAGTTTACAAAATCTGCTATCTAGTCTTGATGAATTTATTGAAGACAAATCAACTATGTTAATTGATGATAATGCAAGAATAGAATTCTTTGCATCAGTATCAATTAACAGTATTGATATAATTTGTGCTTCTTCAAAATTTTATGAAAAATCTTTGTTTTCTAATATTATTGTTAGTGCTAAGGTTGAAGATAAAGATATAAATTAGTATAGCTAGTAAATATTATTACATTATTGGATATTGCAAGTATATAAGCATAATGTTAATAGCATAATTTTTTTTTTTTTTTTTTGGCGATTATGTCATATTTTATTAATAGAGTAATAGTTACATATACTATTTCTAATACAAGGTATTTTTCAATTAAAATATAGCTCACCTGGTTACCGGAGATATCTATATATGACTTGAATTTGTCTCATTATCGCATTTGACATTTTTGTCTTATTTGGTAATTTATCAACTAGGTTCTGTGGCAAGTCATGATTTTTTTATTTTTTGTTCCACCAATTACTATTTCCTGTCTCAATTCAGTTATCTATCTCTTTTATAGTTATACACATATATTTTTCTCATTCTATTTCCTCTTTGGTTCTCCTCTCAGGGTTTTCATAGCCTTCTTTTTCCTTTTCCTTTTGATTTTCTGGGCTTCTTTTTAGATTCAAAGTCTTTTTCCTTCCTTTTAGGCATTATTTCTATATCTTTTTCCCATTTACAGGTTTCATCGCATCTCTGTCTCTATATATTATCGTGAAAGAGTATCATCCATTTGTTTAGCCAGAATCACAGTATGAGATTTATCATTTTTTTCTCTTAAAATCACTTCTTTCAAGGATGACTCTGTGTTTTAGTGTCAGTATTCCTCTTGCTAGCAGCTCTCTTCTTTTGGTGTCTGCTTGGTTCACTCCTAGCAGTTTCCCTTGCAGGTATAGTTTTTCTATTTTATCTTGTTCATTTTTTTCTAGAAAGCTCCAGATCTTTTGTACTTTAGTAGCCTCTTCGGTACTCCAAAGTTTTAGGTCTGCTGAATATGCTGTAAGGTGTTCGAAGGTCTCAGATTCTTTTAGACATTTACGGCAAATAGTTTCTTTATATAGAGCTTCATGATCTCTTTTTCTTTTTTGTAGAGTAGGCAGAGTACGATTTATTGCTT